CTTGCACTGTAGAGAAGTAGACTAGACCATCACAAGTGCTATTTTCGATCACTCAGTGAAGCAACTATATTACACCCACTTCATTCTGAACTCATCCGGCTTCAGGAGTGTTTATATACGTTGTATAATCACTAGACCTCAACACCAGGTTGGACTTATTACAACGGACGCAATTGATCTCGTAAAGAGCCAGGCAATCTGCTTGTGCATCCTATCCTTGCAATTACTATGCTATCTGAACCGTAGCACTGCGTACTATCGTGTTCAATTCGCGGTAGTGTGTATTCTTGTCGGAATTCGAATTGAAGTCGTTGGGTGATAAGCGGAACACAAGTAACCAATGTATTGATACACAGGAATCAACCATAGCTGATGTCCTTAACGGGTTGCAGAGATAGCTGCTCACGGATCAATCCACCAACGATGACTCAGCTTGGAGCCGCGAACAATCTCACTCAGCTTGACCGCAGACTGCCACATCAGCATCTCCGGATGCGTGTAACAATTACGAGAGGACAGGCTGGCGCAGTTATCAACAACTCCGTTAGGTTATTGATCCTAATTTCGGACGCACAAAACACGACATACACGTGTGCCCAGCGGCGGGCGAATTAGCCTTTGATATATTTGTTTAGTGCGAACGTTAATCCGCCATCGAAATTAGACATCGTGCCTTATGCAGGACTGTGGTGGTACGGGAGATAGCTGCAGATGGTTCGACTGCTGTCAATTAAGCTGGAATGGAAGTAGGTTAGTACTGGCTGTTGGTGGGAATAATAGGAAGTGTGAGTCGCCAACAGTAGCATGTTTGCTTGTCCGCCCTGCTGTGTGCAGCAGATAAGGTGTCCTGATAATCTGCGCGACGATGCAGGTTGCAGTTTAGGTTTGAAGAAAAACATAGTTGTATGTAGGCTGAGATGCTACCAGAGCGCCCAGACCTAGATAGGACGATAAGGAGGTTCTCAACCAAAGCCTTTGGCTGTGAAGCCTGTCCGAAAGGCAGCGGATGTGACAACGATTCGGTTTTACAGAAATGGACTCCACCCGATTTCGAACCCTTAACCTGGAGGGCCATGAGACTGAGTTCGTCTGACCTCTAACCATTGACCATCCTGGTGGAAGTTACTCTGAAGGTGCTCGGGGGCACTACACAGTATAGCTCAATAGCTCAACTAGGTACGCAAATCGTCGCACCGCGTTTAGGTCCGGTCTCATTGCGACGGATACATGTCTATACAAAACCGATTTGTTCTCTATAACCTTCCGAAATTACGAATTGCAGCCCTTTTGAAAAATCGACATATGTGGATAAGTCCATTAGCTTTCTTAGCCACGACCGTAGGAGCTTTCTAGCCAAATATGGAACAGGCTGCAGGCGTCCAACTCCCTCCAGGCGCTTATGCTTCTGACTGACGATTGGCTAGGCCACCTAGGGTACTGGTCTTTTCGGAGTGGAGACAGTTTGGCTGATTCCTTGTAGTTGAATTATTGCCTTAGTGCAGGTAAAGAGACTTAGTCCATCTTGGAAAACTTAGGAGAACTGATGGGTCATCTGTTGTATCAGGCCCTAGATTACCGTGTGAGACTGCACTACTTTTCAGATAGAAGAAATTGGCCAGTCCATGCGAACAGGTGGCTCAGTCGAGTCATGCACGAGGTCGAGTTCAGAATCGGAGTCGTAACAGACTGTCTCGATGATGTTTCCGCTGAAGGATTGTGAGCAGTGTAACCGTCCAGTCAGATGCTCTGAATTACTGCAATTGTTGGTGGCGGTACGGCTCTATGATTGGACTTTGGGGCTACCATGAGAGCACCAGAGCGTTTTCGAGATGACGGTGATGTCAAAGGCTGTGTCAAGCTGCTTGCGGTCTGGATGTCAATTGATATGAGCGGAAACATACTTCCGGTTGTGAGCGGCATTGAGTTGGAAGGTTGTGAATAGACTAGAGGATCTTTTAACCTTCTTAGAAATCTGTCGTTTGTGTGATTTCATTATTGCGGCTGACTTGTGCTTATCAGTTAGCGGTGACTGACAGAAACTTTTATGCCTGACTGTTTGACACCGCGCTGCAACAATGTTATCTAAACGAGCAGAACTTGTGGTAGTGCCAGCAACTGCAGTGGCGACCGGCGTATGTGGGCGTCTTTGGATATGCATGGCTAACAGTGGATAGCTGCATTAGCAATTATGTAAAATTAAAATAGAGTAGCGGCCATGGGATCAGAACGAGGCTTCCTGTCTGTTTGCTGAATCGTACTTTAGGTTGAGAAGTCGCTCGTATTCGTGCACCAATTGTCCAACTCTGATGTTGGGTTCCAAATCGAGCTTAGTCAGTAATCCGATTCATAGCTCGGCATCACGTTCTGACGGGAGACCACGGAGAAAAATCATGCATCGGAATTGACCCTTGGTAAGAGATCCGAGCTTGAAACGACCGCACTCACGATTGACAGTGCCAGCTTATTTGACAAAGTCGTCCGCGTTACACTTTACTATTTGGAGGCACTGGAAGCGTGTGTTCAGTAAAGACGAAGTGTCCCCGCAAATCGACATCGTCTACACTGTCTCTTTGAAGCTGCGTGACCGCGGTTCGGCAGGGGGATAAGGTTTTTGTAACGGACGTGTTCCGCTGGGCCGAATTTTCGGAGAATTAGCTGGACTTTGGTCTCATCATCTCTATTGGCCAGTTTAACCGAGAAGATGTCCTCGTATCGCTTGTACCATGACTCGAACGTCACACCAGTCACTGAAAGAAGTCAAGTACCACATCATGTGGGCACCATGTCGCTTACGGAAAGCGCAAATCGCTGTCGACGTGGAAGGCATACGCAATGCTTGGCCGAGCCAACACATGCTACTCGGTCCACGCACTCGGATTTGCGGTGTTTCTTACGTGCAGTTGAAACAACGCAAGAGCAATCCTTCGCAGACAACGGTTGTCGAAACTTGGCAATCGTTTCATATCCTCAGAGCGAATAGGACAGCTCTCACAGATGTGTAAGAGTACCGCACGAACGAAGGAATTGTACACCTTACCCTTGAGCTTGACTCGGCCTGTGTCCGAAAGGATCACTAACCTGCATTGTAATCCAGAGATCGCGAATTTGAACCTGCGTAGCGGACTTTGCGACCCTTGCAGTTTCCTTAGCCCTTGCGCGACTTGTGGTGGTTTCGCGGCGGCGAAGCGTCGGTACGGTGTATCGGCGTAATGCTGATGCATTTTGCCTTCAGCTTGATGCTGATATCGTGAGGACACCATAGATGCCTCAGTTTAATGAATGCAAGGCGGATCTTTTCGATCCGTTGTGAGACCCCATCGCCGCCGGTCGTGGTGTGACTCCATAGATAAGTGAAGCAAGACTCCAGAATGTCGGCAGCAATGATGAGGCAGACACATGCACCTGCCAATCAGAAGCTGTGTATGAAAGTCCGCAAATTGGATGGCTCCGGTGTATCTGCCAATGATGCTAACAAAGCTCGTGTTCACGCATTGTCGGGTATCCAGGGACAAAAGCAATTCGTACCCACCCCCGAAACATGGGCGACAGGTCCTTACCGCAAGAGACCAACAGAATGTGTTTTATTGAGCGTCATCGAACGAGGCATCAATTCAATTGAACGTACCGTTACCAATGCGCTATATATAACCGAACTTTATGTGCTTGGGTCATGGAATACCCAGATTTCGATCGAAGTTTAACACTTCTGTGTTCTGTAGAGCTACATAACTTGAAGCTGTGGCCTGTCTTGCAATTCGAAGGTGCGGGTTCGACCCTGTATAGGAGACCGGGCGACCCTGCAGTATCCTTAACCCACGCGTGACTGTTGGTGGTTACGCAGCAGGAAATCCTCGGGACTGTGTACCGGCGGACTGCGGATGCCTTCCCCTTATTGGGTGATCTGTTTTGTTACTCCAAAACCATCGCCTACCACTGATCCCCTCCTAAAATTCCGTTTATGTGCATTTATCCCCCTTCCCGTTTACTGTTGCCAGTTAGTCATGCGCATCCTCTCTGCAACATCCAGCACCCAGAATTTATTCATTTGGTTTGCCATCTTAAGAGGAAACCGGTTGTAGTCATGCTTTCTTCCCATAAAGGACGCTATCAAGCTCTCTGCCGAGTGCCATTAGCAGGCGGCTTCTATGGTTTAGCTTTGAGATTTCTGTTAATCCTATAGGATCTACATCGTAACCATGTCGGTGTACACGCCATCGGCCCACATTGCTTGCTCTGCTGTTGATGGGTCCGCCGAGCTCGTTAAAATGGTTGCATGCGTTTCATCACCATGCGTGCTGGTATAGTCATTAAAATGATGTGCAGTGGAAAATCTCGCTGATTGGATTGTCCATCTATGATTGACGGGAAGGTGACTTCTGAAACTGAGATCTTCGATTTGCGCCCCGCGAAATATCCTGCTAACTTTGACTGTGGATGTCTGTTTCTTTTCGTTTCTGTTTGTGTTCTGCTTGTTGGTGCGTTCCTTTGTGACTACCGTTCAGCCTTCCCTCATCAATTGCGGCTTGTCGACCGCTCACTGAGAGATGCGATTTAATAAACCCATTTCATTACACTTGTCACATTTCTTCGACTGCTTAGCCGCCTGTGGTCAGTATCGCCATCAAAACACAATTTCTGTCAATTGCACATAAGCCTCCAAGTGCACGCGATATGGGACGGCTACGAATCCATTGTACCCAGTTTGTTACTTCTCTTAGCATACCATCTCGTCTTGTCTATGAACCACCTAACTGCTCTCGCCCCACGGAGACTGGTGCTCTGGTTTGGTTGTAATTGTGCGCGAAATGAAAGCTCATTGCTGACGGCTTAGAAGTTTCTTATTAGTTCTCTCGATCCCCTCAGCTTACTCCGTTTGATTGTCAAATAATCCTTCACCGTCAACAACTGTGCTCTTTTATTCGAAACTACGTGATGCCTTTTGGACATGTATTTTTCACGTTTCGCGCCTGTCACAGTGCTTTTAATCTTGTTCATTTTAGTTACACTGTGCGCATCTCGGAAGACGCACCAATTGACTCCCATCTCATTCGTGCATTCGCACGTGATGCGGACTTGCACGGTGATGATACCATCACGTATTCGCTGTGGCCGTTGTCCGTGTCAGAATCAGATTTAGCCGATCTGTTCACTGCGCACCCATTCAGTATTGAGGCGCGTCTGAAACAGCTCAACTATAACAACGGAGAACTGGAGGCGCTTCGCGATCAATTTGAAGTGCACTCAAGCGGTTGGGTCACACTGAAATCATCACTCGATTACGAAAGTTCCCGGGAACACAAGTTCAAGGTCAGTTGACACTTTCCATCTTGTTCTTCTCACCTCTTGCTTTGTCCAAATGGGTCCGCTTCCGTGGTACTCACGCCGCAACAGTCACCAGCACTATAACCTAACACTGATGATGCACCTGAAGGAACATAAGTCTAATCTTTATTGCTCTTGTCGCACTTTTATCAACATATGTTGCAGTGCAGTCATATACCCTAACGCTTGTGCGATACAGGTAGACACATTTTATCCGCAAAGCATCTGATCTGCGTGATTGAACGGAGCTTTTTCGGCGCAAGCAGTTTCATGCATGTGAATCAGACGAGATTCTGGTTGTTAACATGGATGGAGGACTATGCATGGGCTGCCATCTAGAGGTTAGGATCTTTTCCTGACTCCTTTACCCGACCCGGAGCAATCCTAGTATTCACCATTCAGATCCTCATTTGGTTTCGTTAAGCTGTATATCAGCGGTCTGCAAACGATCTCTTCGAAATTATTACTCCTGCTTTTTTCGAAGCAGCTGGCCTTGCGTAAACGGAAGGTGATTGATTACCACTCACTTGCTTTTGCACACAGCACAAATTTACACAACATTGATTCATTTTCATGGGGCTATTTTTCTGCATGTTGGCCATGTGTCAGATCCACGCAGCAGCAGTCCTGACCATACCTCCTTGTTGCTCGTCAGTATCCCTAAATGTGTAAAGCTTTGCCGGGACACATGAGTCTCATCTGCACTGCATGAACGAGTGCAAAGGTATGGTCAATCTTAGAGGTTGTTCACTGAATCTGCGAACATGTATTGTGCTAACTACGTGGTAACGGTGCGATGCACATGTTTTGCTTCAGCCTGTCGAGGGGAGCTTTCGCAGGAGCAAAATATGATTCCATGAAAGTTATCGTCTTTTCTAAGTTTATCAGTCTGTCATCCAATTGAGACCGCTCGGAACATAATGGAAGACGTCGAATAGTAAGTATTCTCGGTGCAGCCCTTCCTGATATGTTCGATCACAAGCTGAGGGGAGATGGATAGGTAGGATAGTCCTGATGGGAATGGCTGATCTAGTTGAGCTAATATATCGACATTTCGTGCGCTTTTTCACGGCCTCGGGAATCAAATTTGGACATTTCAAGATGGAAATTACTAATGTGCCTACTTTACATGAGATCCTGCCAGAAACTGGTGTGAACAATCTGCCTTCTGTGTTTGTCTCCTTCATCATCATTACGCCATATCTGAGGGTGAGAAACACATCTCCATTAGTGTACCGCATTGCAAAAAAACATCCAATGTTATCGAAAAACGTTAAAGAGTAATATCATGCTTAATATCACATTACGCACTACATGCGAGATCTTGGTTGGAGAGGGAAACTAAAGAGGGGAGAATCGATGAAGCTCACAAGACAATCGCCATTTAGATCGGCTCTTTGCCATACCAGCAAGTGTATTCCACCTAACATGTTCATCGTCTTCGGACCCCAGCTCGGCAGTCGGAAGACATCGACCGAGGCCAAGTTCGAAGTGAGGGTTTTCTTTCCTCTTGATCAAGTCACCACTTAGCCTCCCCTCTACTATCCACACCCTGGTCGCGCAAACAACGCACGACGCGTGAGTCGTCGGTGTGCTGACATGCGCAACGCCATCGGGGTCTGGTTCGTGAAAAAACGGTGCTGAGCAGTTCACTAGCTTTTCCTGCACCAACTACGAGACGCTGGACAAGCTCATTGCTCACGTGGTGTTTCCTCCAAACATGAGCTAAGCTGCGAAGGCAGCGATGGTCGAACGTGACAAACCCCTTTGTATCTGTCGACTTGGTGATTCAGGTTTCACAGCCTACATAAAGATTGAACGGACGGCTGTATTTCAAACTCTCCCTTCAGGAAGGGAGTGAGGTCAAACGTGTGTCATTGTTTGTGGAGATTACGAAAAACGCCTCGAGCTCTTGCTATATGGTTCGTGACCTGGTTTTCGATTCCACAGACGCTGATACAACCGCCTAGGTAGTTAAATTTCTGAACGACCTCTAATTAATCACCACCGTAGTAGGCGTTCCCTGCCAATCGTGGAGGAAAACTTTGCACGTTGAAGATGCAAAGTTAAGGCCGAAACAGCTGACAGTTAATACTAATTTGTCCAGTGCTGTAAAAGGTGGCGGCAATGTCGTCAGCATACTCCAACTCAAGAAGTCGCTCACAAGGAAGCAGCTTCACGCCTTCTAAAAAAGGCTAAGGCATCAGCAATATGCATGTATGTGTATGCAACTCATTTTGAACCCTTTGGTAGTTAAGGCATCTAGGCACTTCATATGCTTCGCACCCTTGTATTGTAAATCTGTGCACCGGACTTCGTCCACCTTTAATCCCATTATTCGCCTTTGAAGGTGCATAGTTCGTATGGGCAAATTGTTTTATATACTTTGGGGACTGTTTCTGCTGGTGGTACTATTGGAAATAAGATTTCTCTTCGCGTCGCTATTGCTCAGTCGGCATTTGTCAGCCTGATGCACTTGTGACGTTGTCGGGACGTCTCTGCGTTTACGGCGCCTCCTTCGCTCATCTTTGTTAAATGAAGATGAGCCGTGGCCATTTCTTTCGTCTGACGTGCGTGGGCTTTCTGCCTTTGCTAATGACCGAGGAGGATAATCGTGCCTGGTGGCAACATCGAGCTCACAATGTTGACATCAGACGTCGTTCTCATCCTACACATGGCATATGACCGTTTGACTCTACGCGCTTTGCCCTATTCGTTTGTGCAGAATTGGGCTGGAAGTGATTGCGAGGTGTTCAGTCTTCAACATGGCGACAGCACATGCAGCCACTGACGTCACGTCTGTCCGCTGTTGGACCTGTACATTTTTCTTGCTGAGGAACCAAAACTGAAGAATACCAACAGCTCCATGAGCTCTCAAATATGGCTCGCAGTCGGAGTCTGTTGAATAATTGTATACCGAATAACCTCGATCCAGATTTTTAATGCTTCAAATATCCAAGGTGACAAAAGTAAACAACGTCGTGAAACACGAACAAAAATGTTTTGTCTCTCCTTTGCCAACATTTTTGGTCTCCATTGTTTTCATTGATCCCATTTTTTCCGTTGCAATGTTTTACACATACACAAACGCATATATATATATATATATATATATATATATATATATATATATTGCCTTTGCACACTGTGCGATCTCCTCCATCAGCTACGCAAACCAGACTGTACACATAGGAGGCAACACCTATTTTACTGTACCAATTGTTTATTTATCATTCTACCTGGTTACCGTACTGATGGCAGTTGGTTCAATATTCCTATATCGGTTTCGTTCAAATATGGATGCCCAAGATTTAAAACTGCTATTCACGTTCACGTCTAAATGTTAAAGAAAACACCAACAGTTCGTATGGGTTACTTATTCTCATGCGTGCGAAAATGGCTGTTAGCTGGAATGAGTCTGTTCTGCTTGTGAAAGGAGCCGGCTCCGTTGATGATACGTGGCTTCCATCCGCACGCTTCCCGGTCTTATTCCTTCGTGTTTAAACCGGATATAGGGTGTGTGAGTTGAACTGTGGGTGGTGCAGCGCAAGCCACCCATGGTCCCTCTGTAGAAGCAGGCTTCCTATGGCTGTCCCCGTGGAGGCCACAGTGTTAAGCAAATACGGACACGAATGCCGCCAATCCATATATATATATATATATATATATATATATATATATATATATATATATATATATATATATACATATATTTATATTTATATTTATAGGGAAATAATGCAAATCGGACGTACGCTAGGCGGTGGCTGGACCGAAGCCCGTCCCACACACTATGCATAGAGCCACTCTGTGAACCTAGCACCGTCACGAAGACGGTGCACCTTGTCCCCTCCAGCAACGACCGACTAACTTCTGGATCCAGTATGGACGAGGTGGAGGGTATTAGGCAGGTAAGCACCTTGGCAACATTCACATCAGGCGCAGTCGCACCGTGGAGCTCAATTAACATCTAACCCCTGAAATACAAGAATACTCATCACGAAGGCAAATGTACCACATACACCACATTGTTGGCCTGGATTAGTAAATTGAATGGGAACATACTCAAAGTGCTTCTATTCCATCTGTAATAATACCTTCTCCGGCACATGAGAAACCGCCCTTTTGAGCAGTCCACGGAATTCTCACCGATCAAATTTGCCTTTGATTCGCTACACCTGAAATCAACATGAGTTTGTCATAAACTCACCTTCTTCATGTTCTGGTAATGTACTACTGGTTTGCCCCCTTGCCGCTTCTCCGCACTAAGTTGGCTGTACAAACACTGTATGAGTATCCTTATCGAATTCATTCGGTGTACATATGTACATACCTGGATCGGCGTCACCCGTGTCCAATGGCAGTTCGAATACAACATGCACATGCGTTTATCCAAACTTAAGTATGAACTGCCACAAACTGGACAGATATATTAAACCTCAGGAACAACAGTACTGAAAAGGTATTTGGTTATCCTTTAAAGGTTCGGCTAACAGCCACTTTCGTAGGCATGAGAATGAGTGCCCAATACGAACTGTTGTTGTTTTCTCTAACATTTAGACGTGAACATATTGTAACAGCCTTAAATCTTGGGTATCCATATTTGAACGAAACCGATATAGAAATGATGAAACAACTGTCATCCGTACGGTTACTAGGTAGAACGCTAAATAAACAAGTGGTAGAGGATAACAGTGTGTACTTAGGTGTTGCCGTCTAGATGTACAAGCGCAGGTGAATTCAGTATGGCTGATCAACAAGGGTTACCATAGGTATGCTTACTCTCATCACTAACCTGCGGAGTGGAACATGAACTGTCGACATCATGATAATCGCTAGTCGGTTAATTGTCGTAATTTTTACTTTCCACAGAGTTTCCAGGGCAGTTTCTCTTCACATGCATGCTCCAACCTAGTCACACGAAGGACACTCGTTGAGTATTGTATTCCAGATTTCAAATGTTACACTTTATGTGTACTGTAAGC